CCACCAGGCTCACTGTTCATGTGATTTCCCAAGCAAGAATACTGGAGTGTGTTGCCATTTTCTTCTCCTGGGGATCTTCCTGATCCAGCTATCAAACCCGAGTCTACTGTGTCTTCCTGCATTGGCAGGTAGATTCTTTACCACTGTGCCACTTGGGAAGCCCTCCATGTTATATGTACTGTATAACTTACGAAATCTGAAAAATTCTGGATAGTAAGATACTTTCATCCCCAAGGATTTCAGATCAGGTATTGAGAGGCAATACTTGCGTTTATCCTGTCATAATGTGACTGCTATTGCCCACATATTTAGTGACATTTTTGACGGTCTTTTCACCTTTATTTCCTGTAGCTCAGTGATTTGCAAAAGTTGCACATTGGAATCACCTGGAGAACTTTAAAAACTACTGAAGTCTGTCTCCTACCCTGAGACATTCTGATTTAATTAAGGTGGATATGACCTTGATGTCGGCATTAAGAACTGTTCAGGTGATTCCAGTGTGCAGTGAAGTTTGGCGCCCAGTGCTGAGTTATTTCTGAGGACATGAATGTCAGTGGAGCAAGGCCCGGGCGTCCTGTGATGCTTCGTGACACTTAAGTTAAATTGGACTGAGGAGACGCAATTTGTGTTAGAGCCCCAGAGGATGTTTTGCTGTGTGATGGGTTTTGTTTTCGTTTAGAGGTTCAGATGATAAAGAATTCACCTGCAATGCAGGAGACCTGAATTTGATCCCTGGGTTGGGAAGATCCTCTGGAGAAGGGAATGGCTACCCACTCCAGTATTCTTGCTGGGAGAATCCCATGGACAGAGGAGCCTGGTGGGCTGCAGTCCTTCGGGTTTCAAAGAGTTGGACACAACTGAGTGGCTGACACTTTTACTTTCTTTGGTACTGGAGTCACAACATCATCATATTATATCACTGCAGCACAAAGACCCATGGTTTTCCAGCCTCAGTATGCGTTGGATACTCGTGTCACTTGTAAAAACTAGTATGATAGTTAGAGTTACTTACACAGAGCCTCCAAAATAATCTTCTGACAAACAACTGATTTAATTATGTAACAACTGATTTTTGTCCTCAAAATTAAATGACCATTATGAAAGGAGCACGTTTTAAAAAATGTTTCCCCATTAGTGTCTTGGCTATTTACCAACTAAGGATATATTCTTTTCTAAAATATCCTAAGACCAACTGTACTCATTCTGGGTTGTGAGCCCTTACAAATAAGAAAAAAAGTAATAAATGGAAGAATTTCCAGAAAATATGGGAGTTAGTTGGACTTCCAGTTGGTTCTTGATTATGTCTCTGATTTATTCACTTGTACAAATTTAAGTTATGTTACCTATGCCAACTTTATAAGGATAAGGGTAGATTTATTTGATTAAAAGAAGTGTCTAGAGCAGACTAGACTTCAAGAATGAAAGGAACTACGTTTGCAGGGTTAAAAATGGGAATATAAAAGCACACATTTTATATTGTGAAGATCCTCGAAACATTTTGAATGTTTTTCAACTGATGCGGAAGGCAAATTCTCCTAGTTGGTGATTGAGTTATAATGTCACAAATTCACTTCCGTCTAGGGAAAATATGTTTTTATTGTTAAAGAAGGCAAATGAATTAATGATAAACTTTGTCAGCAGGGAGCCCATGGCAGTCATTTTCCGCCCCCGGAGGAAAGTGTACATTTAGTATTTGTCACAACTTCAAAGAAAACAACTAGCTTTTACCACTGACTATGCTAGTTCTGTTACTGAGAGCTTCAAAACCAGAATTTGTTTTTATAGGCAGGTGCTGTTTTTCTCAGTATTTTGCATTGCTAGCCATCCAAATAGCAATTAAGGCCCAGCCAGCTTTAGAACTTGTGAAGCCAAACAGTGAGAATCGCTCCTTTAGTAAGTCAGTGTTCTCCAAGAGGTGTTTTTTAAAACCTTGTTTTGCTTACCTGGAAACAGCAATTCTGACTGCCATTGTCAATTGGAGGCAACCAAGAAAAGAGAAAATCTTCTACTGACTAAGGAGGATCTTTTATTGGGGATATCATCATAAGTAGGCAAGGATTGTTTAAGAATGACCCATTCCTCCTGTGGAGTGAACTATTAATTATAAAGTAAACTAAAGAATAAACATACATTTACAGCTGCAAATGGCATGCTTGTGTTTCCAGAGTTAGTATCCAATCCTGCCTCACTTAGAGAGAAATGGAATTTATGCTCTGGGATTACTTGGACACTCCTTTGTTTTATTTATATATGTTTATAATTTTTAAAGATGAAATATAGTTGATGTACAATGTTGGGTTAATTTCTTCCGTATAGCAGTGTGATTCAGTTATACATATATTGACATTGTTTTTAAAATTCCTTTCCATTCTGGTTTATGCCAGAATACGGAGTGTAGTTCGTTCCCTGTGCTATACAGTGGGGTCTGTTGTTTTTGAGCCTCCTTTGTTTTAAATCATCCTCACCTCCTTGGGCTCTCTGAGGGTTCTCCTCTGTGCCCTAAACTTGCCTGCACTGAAATAATCGTTTTCTTGTATGGAGGCTTTTGGACCATTTTCACAGAGGTCTTTCTCTGCAGTTTCTCCTAATGCACACAACATCAACTACTTCTGTATCTACAGCTACTGCTGTTTCTGATGATCCAGGCAACACTGATAGCTGAAGCTTTTTCCTCTGTGTGCTCAGTCTGCTCTCCAGGGGATGACTTCTTCCTGTCCATAGTGCGCTGTACTTCTAAGGGCTTGTCCATCACCGCCCCCCTAGACCCTGGCCCCCGCCACCCCCACCCCATCTGCCATGGACTGGACTACAATGGCCTGCAAACATGTTACTTCTCACATCACTGAGGGAGATGTGTGAGGCGTGGCTTGGGGGAAGATTGGAAGCTGCTCCTTTCTGTTGGATATTTTTGGTAAGGCTCTCTTACTGTCCACAGTATAGCACTCTCAAATATAATTCCACCCTCCATGTTTCTCCACGCTGGCACATGACAAACCCAATAGAATCAAATCTCAGCAGTTCAGGACTTGAGATTTGTTGGTATAAAAATTTCCCTCTGCCTCTGAGTGAGGAAGAATAAAACAGACAATAGGTGCTGAAGGTGGAAAATCCTCACTATCTAGGTGTGATTATGCAGTGGTGGTGATGCGCTCCCACTGCTATTCATTCAGGAAATCTTGATAATGTCTCTTTTTGAACCAGTTCCTGGGAGTTGAAGGTGACCACAATTCTCTCCCTGTGTCTCCCTCAGAGGTCCATACTCGAATTTGATCACAGCTCACATTGTGGTGATATGCCTTCTTGTGGTTCAATAGTAAAGAATCTGCCTGTTGATGCAGGAGACAGAGGAGTCTCAGGTTCAATCCCTGGGCTGGGAAGATCCCCTGGGGAGGAAATGGAACCCACTCCAGTATTCTTGCCTGGAAAATCTCATGGACAGAGGAGCCTGGTGGGCTATAGTCCATGGCGTTGCAAAGAGTTGGACAGGACTGAGCGACTGAGCACACCTGAAAGCATGCATTCTTGTGTCCAGTCCAGTCCAGTCCAGTCGCTCAGTCCTGTCCAATTCTTTGCGACCCCATGGACTTGCAGCACACCAGGCTTCTCTGTCCATCACCAACTCCCGGAGCTTGCTCAAACTCACGTCCTTCAAGTCAGTGATGCCATCCAACTACCTCATCCTCTGTCATCCCCTTCTCCTCCTGCCTTCAGTCTTTCCCAGCATCAGGGTCTTTTTCCAAGGAGTCAGTTCTTTGCATTAGGTGGCCAAAGTATTGGAGCTTTAGCTTCAACACCAGTCCTTCCAATGATTATTCAGGACTGATTTCCTATAGGGATGACTTGTTTGATCTCCTTGCAGTCCAAGGGACTCTCACGAGTCTTCTCCCACACCACAGTCCAAAAGCATCAATTCTTCGGTGCTCAGCTTTCTTTATAGTTCAATTCTCTCAGCCACACGTGAATACTGGAAAAATCATAGCTTTGACTAGACAGACCTTTGTTGGCAAAGTCATGTCTCTGCTTTTTAACATGCTGTCTAGGTCGGTCATGACTTTCCTTCCAAGGAGTAAGCGTCTTTTAATTTCATGGCAGCAGCCACCATCTGCAGTGATTTTGGAGCCCAAAAAAGTAAAGTCTGTCACTGTTTCCATTGTTTCCCCATCTATTTGCCATGAAGTGATGGGACCAGATGCCATGATCTTAGTTTTCTGAATGTTGAGTTTTAAGCCAGCTTTTTCACTTTCCTCTTTCACTTTCTTTTTTTTTTTTTTTTTTGGGTAAATTGTAATTTTTTTATTGGAAAACAAATATACAACCTGGAATGGATTTGAGGCAAATTGTGCCATAAGCAGATTTTCTTTAAGTGGCTAAAACAAAGTTTAAAAAGCAAGTTAACAATAAAAGAAAATGTTTCTGGTATAGGACCAGCAGTACAAAAAAATAGTGTACGAGTACCTGGATAAAACACCCGTCTTGCAATAGTGCAACTTTTAAGTACATATTGTTGACTGTCCGTAGTCCACACAGAGTTACAGCTCCACACTTCAACAACAACATGCTGACAATTCCTAAAGAAAACTACTCAAAAAAAAAAAGAAAAAAAAAGGCATAACCCAGATGTTCCCTCATTTAACCAACTCCATCTAAGTTTAGATGTGCAGAAGGGCTTAGATATATCCAGAGTAAGCCACATGTAACATGTTACTTGATCAATTTTCTAAAATAAGGTTTCAGGACAATGACAGTAAGATAAGGGAAGAAAACATGGAGGAATGAAGTCCTAATTACTATACATGCATATTTTTTTTGACAGTAGGGGGAAACCTTTTACAGATAAGTTACAAACAAAGAAAAGGCAAACAATTTTGTACAAGAAATTTAACACATTCTGTACAATGTCTTCACTTTGCTGTCATCATTTGTACAAACTCTTCATAGTTTACTTGACCATCACCATCAATATCTGCTTCCCTGATCATTTCATCAACCTCTTCATCTGTTCACTTCTCTCCAAGCTTTGTCATCACATGGCGGAGCTCTGCTGCACTAATATAGCCATTACCATCCTTATCAAACACACGGAATGCTTCTCTAATTTCTTCTTCACTCTCTGTGTCTTTCATTTTTCTTGCCATCATTGTCAGAAATTCCGGGAAGTCAATTGTGCCATTACCATCAGCATCTACTTCATTAATCATGTCCTGTAACTCTGCTTCTGTGGGATTCTGCCCAAGAGACCTCATTACAGTTCCCAGTTCCTTTGTTGTTATAGTTCCATCGCCATCCTTGTCAAATAGTGAAAAAGCTTCTTTGAATTCTGCAATCTGCTCTTCAGTCAGTTGGTCAGCCATGCTGCAAGCGCTACCGGTCTCCGGGACGCAACCACACAACCAGTCAGCTCGCTCGCTCCACTCGGACTCCCCTTTCACTTTCACCATTTTTAGTTCTTTCCTTTCTGCCATAGGGGTGGTGTCATCTGCGAAACTGAGGTTTTTGATATTTCACCTGGCAGTCTTGATTCCAGCTTGTGCTTCATTCAGCCTGGCATTTGGCATGATGTACTCTGTATATAAGTTAAACATGCATGGTGGCAATATACAGCCTTGACATAATCATGTAGCCTTCTTATATAGTCATATCAAATTCTCTTCTCTGGAGAGTATCATAATCAAGGGTGTCTATCACTTGGCCATGGTGCAGCTTCCTTGGAACCTAAAACTCCCATATATTTAATGGGGTTACCATTTCCAAATTACTGGGCCCCAGGTCTCCGGAAAAATGACACCAAATCATTCATCCAAGGAAAATTGGGTTTCCTCTTTTACTTTGGGAGCCATTTGTAATAAAAAAGAAATCTGACCAGACAGGCAATTTGGCAGTACTCTTTGTCTTAAAAGTAAGCGGAGGAACTAGAGAAAACATGAGAAACGTTGTATAAACCACAATGCTGTGTGTGGTGGTCACGTAATAGATGCTGAGTTAAACTGGGCTGAATGGACACCTGAGTGAAGCTGTGTTCACTGCAGAGAGTGCTCACATAGAGAGCAGAGCAGGTTAACTGGTAATAAGTATTTCCTTCTGGATGTTCTTGATCATATTGAGCTGTTTACTCACTCCCTCCTGAACATTTAAACCTTTCTGGCTAGATAATATAGTTGCAAGACCAGATCCATGAATAGTCAGTGTTATTACTGGATGTTTGTAACAATATTTCATTCCCTATCTTACCACACTGTGGAAACATCCAAGAGAGATGTTGGCAATAGAGCTAGAAATTGGTAATAAAAGATAGGAATGCTGGTGTCCAGGCTCATTATAACCCGAGATCTCACTGCAGGCTTTCCTCAGGGCTGGGGGACGTGTACGTGTGAAATAGACTTTGCAGTGGTGTCTGTTTGATTCTAATTCTTCTCAGCTACATAAAAATGCCCTCAATTCTGAACGTTGTACGGTAAAAGGCAGGAAAAATGAAAATAGAGGTTTTTATTTTACTTTGAGTTTTGTGTAATCTTAACAGTGATAACTCTAAACCAAAGCATGTCCTTGGGATTGAATGACTAGATAGGCTTAATAGAGGATGAATAGACCAGATAGTGATAAATACACCAGGATCGTAATGGATTAAATGTTATCCTATAAAATTAGGAAATATCAAGCATTTATGTTCAGAACTGTGTGTCTGACAGGAAGCTGATTCAACACATTAACTAACACATTACTGAAAACTCTACAGCAGGACAGGGATTACCATGACTGTGGTGGAGTCGGAATATCTAATTAATTAATCCCTATTACTAGAGCAGCATGGCTCTTAACCAGGAATGCCTTTTCCACCTCATCTCTTTCTACTATTCTACTCCACCAGAAGTTAAACAAAAGTTCTTAACAAGGTTCAAACTTCTTTCATCAATCAGGAGGTTAGAAGCACAGAATCCCTGTTCCCTGCTCCTCTGTTAGTTTTCTAGGGTTGTTGTAACAAAATACTGCAGCCTACTGCTTAAACAACATAGCATTTTCTCTGTACCCCACCCCCCCAGTCCTGGAGGTCAGAAGTCTGAGGTCAAGGTAACGTCAGTCGGGTTGCTGTCTCCTAGGGGCTGTGATGGGAATCTGCTCCATGCCTCCTTCCAGCTTCCGGTGGTTTTCTGGGAATCTTTGGAGTTCCTTGCCCTGCAGACACATTACCCTGTTCTCTGCCTTCTGTTGACTTGGTCTTCTCTCTGTGTTGGTCTCTGTCCACATCGATCATTTTTATAAGGACACCAGTCATATTGAGTTCGGATCCCACTAATGCCCTAATTTAACGTTATTTGTAAAAGGCCTATTTAAAAAAAAAAAAAATAAGATCACATTCTGAGATACTAGGCTTAGAATTTCAACACATTTTACTGGTTGGAACAGAGTTTAACCCATAACACCATGATTCCACCAAACTGGGTCTCCTATCTGATCTGACTGATGTTAGGTCATAGGCAGAGTATCAGTGTAAATTGCTAGATCCTCTGGATTTCTGGGGGAACAGGAACTTGGTGACGGTATATGCTTTCTCCTTTGCTCTCATCAGGCAAGACCATCCCCAGAAGATGTGGTGCCCAGGACAAAGCAGTAGTTGATCTCTTTCCTAGATGGTGCTTATACATGTATGTGGGCATATATAACATCCCCCTACACACACACCCCTAAGAAATCTGTAAAAATAAATATTGAAAACAAACTCTAAAAAGAAATAGAAAGAAGAAGTGACATACTACACATTCTATAGAGTAGTTGCCACTCATCAATGTGGAGATACGTTCCAAGACCCCACTGAATTTCTGAAACTGTGGAGAGTACTGAACCCTATATATACTATGTTTCCTCTGATATATACATACCTGTGATAAAGTTTAATGTATAAGTCAAGCACAGTAAGAGATTAGCAATAATAAGAGAGCAGTTCTAACAATATACCATAATAAACATGTGAATGTGGTCTCTTTCTTAAAATATCTTATGATACAAAGTTAATGCATTTCCCATCTTCATTAAGCACTTACAAACACTGTGGCCGTAACTCCTGCAGCTTGAGATGCAGCAGCAAAACTAGCATGACTTATTCCCTCTTCACAATTTGATGGATATAAGATTTGTTCTTACCATAGAGCTTGGTAACTTTTTTCTTTTTCATTTATTTTTATTAGTTGGAGGCTAATTACTTTACAATATTGTAGTGGTTTTTGTCATACATTGACATGAATCAGCCATGGATTTACATGTATTCCCCATCCCGATCCCCCCTCCCACCTCCTTTTTTTTCTTTTTTTTATCAGGTCAAGAACTTTATGACTTCTCTTTGGCTTATCTGCATTGCCAACATCACTTTTCTTGCACTTTGGGGCCATTGTGTTGTACAATAAGGGTTCCTTGATACCCTGTGATACCACGACAGCTGATCCAGATCCGATAACCAGGATGGGTACTAAGAGAATATGGGGCTGGACAATGGGATGAGTCACATCCTTGGTGTGGGACAAAGTGAGATGGTGTGAGATTTCTTCACTCTACTCAGAATGAATGGCATGCCATTTAAAACTCATGGATTTCTTTTTTATTTCTGGAACATTCCATGTCTTATCTTTGGACTACAGTTGGTGGTGGGGAAAAGGAAATCAGGGAGAAAGGGGGACTACTGTATAAAAAATAAAAATTCCTTGCCAGGAGGGCCTAGTTATTATGTAAGTTATATGTATACAGGCAGGCCTCATTTTATTGTGCTTCACAGATTTTTTTTTTTTTTTTTTTTTTTACAAATTGAAGGCCTGTGGGGACTTTGCAACAGCATTTGCTCATTTAGTGTCACTATGTTTCCAACTTTTTTGTTATTATTGGTCATGATGACCTATGATCAGTGATCTTTGATGTTACTATGATGACTCACAGAAAGCTCAGATGATGGTTAGCATAGTTGAGCAATAAAATATTTTAAAATTAAAGTATGCACATTGTTTTCTGGACATAATGCTATTGTACGCTTAATAGACATTACAGTGTAAACATAACTTTTATGTACGCTGAGAAACCGAAACATTTGTGTGAATCGATTTTCATCCATATTTACCTTGTTTTGTGGCTTAGAGCCAAACCCATGATACTTCCAAGGTCTGCTTATAGCTGAAAGCCTGTGTCTTTTTGTACCCAAGCTGGTAGATTCATCTTCTCCTCCATGGACTGTCTAGCCCTCATGATCTAGCCCAGGGTGCATCTTGAGAAAACCTCCAATGTATTGGATCCACAAGGTAATTACTTGTGGTTATAACAAACTTCTTCAAGTTGACAGTTTGGGGCAAGGTACATCAATGCCTATGGCTCTGATGCAGCGATTAGAAAGGTGGAAAGAACAGCAGAGCAAACACTCAATTATTTTTGCTGATTTGGTTTTCTTTCAAGTTCTAGTAGACAAATCTTTAAGGATACCAAAAATCTACTAATAAGCCACCTATGTACCAATGGCAAGGAGTGTAATATGCATGGAAATTAAGTTTTTCCTGAGGTGGAAATTACATTTTCAAAGAAGAGCTGGTAATCCTTTATAAGTAATGATCCATGAGCTATCTTTTCAAAAGGTAAGTTCTTTGAGATGGTTTTGCCCACGTTGCACACACAGAGGGAAGAAGCTTTTGAAGGTGTATCTTTGCTGCCTTTGCTCCAGTTTGTAACAAGCCCCGCAGTCCTCGCCAGTGGTGGGCTTTCTCTGCATGGCACCTGCTTTGATTTAGCTACGTCCTCATCTCTTACAAGGACGCTGTTGAAAATGGCTGAACCTGAGGAGACACCTGGTGGAGACAGAAAGCATTCTTCTCTCACACTTTATACTTATTTCTTCTTTTCCAGTAATATTTCAGATGATATGAGCCCAAGGTAATGTCACAGAGTCTTTGTATTTTCTTCTTAGCAGTTTAGAGATGTGAAGCAAGTATACAAACAGTAAAAAAAAAAAAAAAAAAAGATGCTATGTGAATGTAACCTCCTTATAGCATAGCTTAGATGCGATGAGTTTATTTTTTATTTACTCACTAACCTGCTTGTTCATAGGTGCATTAGGGAAGCAGAGCTCTTGGTCCTATGGGAAGCTCTTATATTGAGCTATGGAGGCAGAGCATACAGTCATCAAGAGCAAGGGTTAAAGAGGTAATTGCAGGGGACTGAGACCACATGTAAATGTGACGTGCAGGTGAGCAGAGAAGAGGGGACTGGGAAAGACGTCATAAATGGATGCAGTAGTGGAAGTGGGGTGTTAAACAAGTAGAAGATTTGACAACAAGGTCCAACTGTGTAGCACAGAAAACTGTACTCAGTATCCTGTCATAAACCA